ATTTGTCTATTCTAGGTACTCTGTATAAGTGGAATCATACAATTTTCGTCCTTTTGTGTCTGATTTGAGTTGGCATAGTATTTTCAAGGTTCATTCATGTTGTAGTATGTGTCAAAACTTCATTCCCGTTTAAGGCTGAATGTCTTACATTCTTTATATATATCACATTTTGCTCATCCATTCATCTGTTGATGGATACGTGGGTTGCTTCCACCTTTTGGCTATTGCAAATAATGCTGCTATGACCATTGGTGTGCAAGTGTCTGCTTGAGTCCCTGTTTTCAATTCTTTGGGGTATACACCCAGAAATGGTCTTGCTGGATCACATGGTATTTCTAGTTTTAACTTTTTGAGAAACCATCATACTGTTTTCCAAAGCAGTTGTACCATTTTGTAGTACTTCCATCAGTGCACCAGGGTTCTAATTTCTCCACATCTTATTGTTTTTTGTTTTTTATAATAGCCAGCCTGTTGAGTGAGAAGTAAAGTTGTCTTTTTCAATGTGTATATTATATTCCTTGAGTGATTCAACACCTGAGAGACCAGTTGTCAGGGAGTGGGACCAGGCTGTCTCAGCATTTGCAGCCTGGAGGAAAACCTGTGCCAGCCTCACTCCCACCCCCAGTCCTCTCCTCCACCCCCTCCTCTGAGTGAGGCCACCCCACTCAGCTCTGCTGGACCAAGAAGGGTCCCAGCAACCAGGGCCTGCCTCTCCAGGGCTGTCCCTGGCCCTGTGGGGCCCCTGTTGAGGGTTAGAGGGGCACATAGAGAGGTCCTATGTGTTGATGTAGGACATGATCAGTGCAGGAGGCCCCTCCCCTGTGCAGAGAGAAGAGGAAGGAAGAAAGTGGGTTCTGAGAATGGCCTGGGGTGAGAGCCTCTGAGTGCCGTCAGCTCCCTGCATCTTCCAGTTCCAGGTGCACCTAGTATGGCTTCAGCCAGCTGCCGGGTCCTGGAATCGAGGGAGGGCGCAGACTGTGCCAAACCACAGGAACAGAAGCAAGAGCTGTGGGTGGGAGGGAGAAGGCCTCCAGCGTCAGCTTCGGGGCCTGTGGGCATCAGGGAGAAGTACACTGGGGCCATTGTACTGCGGACGAGGCTTCTGGGAAGGAAAGTCTGAACATTTGATGAATGTGGGAAGCATTCAGCACACCTTCAGTCCAACCGACGGTTATTACGTACATCTCCACTCTGTGCAGAGCCTGTGGGAGAGCCTTCAAGGGAACTGGAGACCAGCAGGACGTGGGCTCCACCCTCTGAGGACTCCCAAAAGGGCAGGGAACACAGATCCACAGGCAGTTTACACAGCGACAAAATGCCAACTGTTCCTGACATGCAATGCCCTGGGCTGGGTCCACTGGTCCTTGGGACAGTAAAGTTCCATCCAGTCACCATTTCACAAACATGTGTTTGGATAATCCATTTTAGATGTGTTAAGCTTAGGACTTATGTGACACGTTTAAGTGGAGACATCCTCGTGTGAAGCTCAGAATCTACAGAAAAATAAATCCGGGATAAAGGCAATGGGTGAGATCACCAAGGGGCAGGGGTGGGGAGGAGAGCACACCCAGAAGGATGGGCGGTGGGAGCGGCTGGCGGGCAGTCCAGGAGGAGGCAGCCGAGGGGACGCTGCATGATTTTAACGGGCGGTGCTGTGTTAACAGAAGTGTATCTCCCGAGACGAACCACGCAGGTCCTTCCACAGAGATGGTGATGGGATGCAGCCCGAAGACCCCCTCTGGCAGCTCAGCAGTGAGAGGCGCTTTCTGCACCCGAGGCGGGCATGAGGATGACGGCGGTGCACCCGGCCCACGAGGACTGTGCTCCCGGCTTCACGGACGTTGTTACTAATCAGTCTCCCTGCGCCCTTCCAGGCAGGAGTGACCAGGTCCGCTGGCCAGCAGGAAGGTCAGGATCCCAGCCCGTCTCTCTCGCAGCCCGGGTCTTGCGTGAACACTCACCAGTTTCAGAGCACACAGCCTCTGGCGTGTCTGAATTCACAGGACGGGCCTGTACGGGGTCACTGAGGAAATCTCCTACCTAACAGAACCCAGAAAGTGCAAATTACCTGAACCAGTCAAGCCTGGCTCTGTGTTGATATGCTTCAGTTGTGTTAGGTATTAAGCCAGTCAGTTATCGCACCTGTTTCTCCTCTCATTATTTCAGTAATACGTTTCTTTCTCAGGTCTCTTGCTCCCACCACCTCCTGGGTTTTCCTGTACTCAGGGTTCAAGTCTTCTTTCCCCACAACTAGTGATACACGCCCCTCCGCCCTACTCTCTGGTCCTGTCCCCTAGATCTGCTTCTCCCCCTGCTCTTTCTCTGCCCTATCTTACTCTTTCTAAATCTAACGGCAAATTACGATTCCTCTCATTTTTCAAGTTTACCATCTTGATGTTGCAGTGTTCTTTTTCCAGTACTTTCAGTAGTTCTCTAGCACTCTTTGAAGCAAATTCCCGACGGTGAGATTGAAAGTCATTTATAAATCCAATCACAGTGGTTTTTGTTCACATGTAGTGACTGTGGACAAAGAGGGCAAAGTGACGCTGTCTTCCTCCTTTGAGACGGTCAAATCAGCGTCACCACTATTGTCTAATCTTGTTTCCAATTAATTTCAAAATTTTCATGTACTTCCTCCCAATCAAAGAAACTGATTGCTTTTTCAAGTCTATCGTTCTCTTTCTCCCCTTCTGGGGGGGGATAGGGGAAATCCTCCCAGATGAACAAAGGCGCCTCCCAGATTGCTGTCCCCTTCCCTGGGTGGCGTGTGCATGTGGGCTCCAGGGCGGGCGTCCTGGGCCACTCCGTTCCTGCTCATCTCTCATTCACACCCTTGCCCTCCTCCCAACAAAAGCCACACACATTCTGTCACCAGTCTCCTGACCTACATTTGAAACTATTTATCTGTCTGGCGTGTCTGTCTCCATACAGGATGAGGTGATGTGCGATTTTCATGTGTACATCAATGTTCTGGTCACTGTGTATCTCTTGTGAGCAGAGCCCTCTGTGTTTGTGCATGTGGAATACTCTTGTACTGACACATGGAACTATATGGGCCTAGTTCCAAATGAATATAATAGTAATTGAATATTTACATATAAATACAATGTACACCTATGACAGCTGGGGGGAATGTATGTGAAATTACATACGTTTTATTTCGCATAGGTGAAGGAGGGAGCTGATTTGCACTGCACTAACGATGAGTCAGTGTACTTATGGGTCCCTGTCAGCAACCCCCTTACAAATCACATCACAGAAATATTTCTGTCTGTGGTCCGACGTGCATATGGCACTATAGTCTCTGAATGGATGATAGAAGCGCTGAGTCATTCTCTCTATAGATAATACATGAAAAGAACTGTATGGTTCAAAATAAGCTAAAGGCTTATAGAAAGCAGTTACAGGCCATCCTGAACATTTAGTTTGAAATAACAAGTACAATACTGCAATCACGATTTCAAACTCTGATTCAGTAATCTACTTTTAACCCATTACCTGTCTCATTCCGTTCACCATAAGACACCCACAGCTTTTATTTTACTGAAGTATATGGGTGAATCTTTTGTTTTCTCTTATGTTCTGAAATATGTACACTTATAAAATCGTTCAAAATATTACCCCTCTTAAATGATAATGTTTGTTCTGTAAGACGGCTGCAACAACATTTGGGGTGTGAGAAGCCAAGCCCATAAAGGATTTAGTTGCCCCTTCCTGCAGTAGAAATTTACATTCTTCTGATTCTGTCTAGTGACTTGCATTAAGTACTTTGAGCAGGGAAAACATGCGGATTCTGGCTCACAGCTGATCACCTATCTGAGTGTATATTATCTCAATTAACTAAAGAAAGGCGGGAAGCACTTTCTGGAGTTGTCTCCCACCCCTTAGAACCGAAATGGGTGGGCCCCATCGTCGCCCACACACCTGGTTGGTGGCGGAAGGCAGGCCAGGCGGGGCCTGGGCAATGACGCGAGGAG